GGGGATAGACCTGGAAAAGCCACCCCAGGCAGAGCTTTGCCATCCCAATATCCTCAATTTTCTGGGGTGCTGAAGGGGAGGAGGGGCCTGAGCTTCCCTATTTTTTCCCCACTTTGGGAAATCTTTAATCTGTGTTGATCCAGGCAGTTTATTCTGCTGGATGTGCAGGAAGTGCTTTGCCCCGTCCATAAATGAGGGTGGATTTCGGTGTAAATGTGTTACTCATTAAACCCCTTTTAACTTCCAAATTCCCCTTTGCCAGCAGCTTTTCCTGCCTGATTCCTGAGGGGAATGTTTTGCTCTGCCCTCAGGATCCAGATGTGTGACAGGGCCTTGTGTAACTCTGATATAAATAACCCAGTGGTGTGTCATAAAAAAAAATTACATCTAATCCACAGCTTTTTTTTTTTTTTTCTCCTGGTTGCCTGTGGCTTTGTAAACACAGGGAATGACTGTGTTGGGAGCAGGATGAAATACAGGGATTTAAAAAAAAATACCCACATGGCTTTCAGTGGATTACTTAATGAGCCAGACAGGGTGATACGTGTGCAAGGTGATGTCTGGTGTTACAAATTCACCCCCAAACTTTAAATTCACTCTTCAGATCTGAACATGACCTTTGTTGTGTGTGGCTCCAGTAAATGTGCATTATTGGTCAAAATAACTCCCTGGCATCAGAGCCCAAAATAAAATACAGCTGCCTTGCTTTTCCTTCAGCAAAAAATAATAAATAAATGCTATTTTTGCCTCGAAGCCTCTGCATGTTTAGAGCTTGTGTTCCTGCAGAGCAGGGGGGCAGTTTAATGTGTAAAACTGGGCATATAACAGGTGTCTGTGAGCTCAGGGCACTAAAAATAAAAGAGGGACATGTCTGAGTGGGCTGAAAGACAATATCATGGAGTGAATGCATCTCATCTCTGTGCCTGTGCACGTCCCAAAATAAAGTCAAAGGCTTAACACCAGTTCTGCAAATTCCCTCTCAGGCATCTCTTTCTCAATCAATCTTTCAAAATCAGGCTTTAAAGGAAAAGTTTGTATTTTACATCCCTAAGCCCTTTAGCACCATTTCTATTTTTGAGGGGTGGTGATGTGTGTGTGTGTCTGTGTGTTATTTTTGGCAGAGATAAATCTGATATCGTGACCTACATTCCTTTGCTGGAGCCAGGGAGGGGAAATGTCTCCACCTGTGATTTCCTTGGTGCCTTGGCTGAAAGGCTTTCTTTAATTTTACAATGAGTTTTTCCAAGTAGGGGAGATAAGAAGGAGTGAGAAGGGAAAGGGAAATGACTGCAGGTAGCAGTGAGAAATAATTAGCTGCTCTTCAAAATAATTAAGTGCTCTGCTCTGCTGTGTCATGGGATCATCCCTGGGCTTGATCCTGGAGGGAGTTTTTATTCACAGGGCCAAACTTGTGTGAGGGAACCTTCTAGGAACCAACACTGCTGATCTTTGGGTTGTGTCAGGTGTTTATTTCTTGTTCAGATTTGGAGGTTTTGCTCTCTGAGCGACATCTTTTTTCTGGAAAACCCCCTCAGGAGTTGGAAACACGTGGATTTGTGTCTTCCCAAAGCTCCAGCAGGGGAAGAGGAGCTTCGGGGTGACCTGATTGTGGCCTTCCAGGACCTGAAGGAGCCGACAGGAAAGATGGAGAGGGACTTTGGGCAAGGGGTGGAGGGACAGGACAAGAGGGAATGGATTTTCCCAGTGCCAGAGGGCAGGGAGAGATGGGATATTGGGAAGGAATTTGGCTTCCCCATCCCTGGGAGTGTCCAAGGCCAGGTTGGAGCACCCTGGGATGGTGGAAGGTGTCCCTGCCCATGGAATGGATGAGTTTTAAGGTCCTTCCAACCCAAACCAGTGTGGGATTCTGGGATGTTTGGCATTAAAGGTGCCCAGGCGTGTTTGTGGATCCATCATCCCAAACTGGTGACTTTAATACCTGCTGGAGAGGGAAGGGTGGCACTAATTTATGGGAGACACGAGGAGAAAAAAAAAAAATAGGTCAGCAAGTCTGAAAGGTGCTGACAAGCATAAAATACCTGGAGATTGTTAAAAAGGAGGGGGGAAAAAAAGAACCTGAAGGTGGTTTTTCCAAGCCAGGAGTCAGAGGGAGCAGGAGTGAAGTGACTTGCTGGGGAACAGGATCTGTTTGGGAATTCAGATTTCCTAAGAGCAGGTTCCTGGGAAGGAATCCAGGGTGGCACTGGGGCTGTTGGAGCAGCTCTGTGGCTTGGAAAACTGCTCCCTGTTGTCACAGACCCTTTTGTGAACGGGTTCACCACCTCTCTGTGCTGCCCCAGGGTTTTTCCAGCTGCAGCTCTTCCCATTTCTGGAGATTCAAAAATTAAAAAAAAAAAAAAAACAACTGCGTGGTGCAACAAAATTACCCTGTAAAAAGCAGAAATATCAGAAATTTTTCACTTGTTTTAGGGTGAAAAGCTTCTCTTTAAAGCATTCTCTCTGCATCTATGCCCCAACTGACCAGTATTTCTACTTTTCATGGTGCAGCTGTGAGGAGAGGGAGCCCTAAAATCACTGATGTGCTGCTTCAGGTCGAATCCCTGGTGTCACCAGAATAACCTTTCTGGCACGTGTGAACCACTGGATCTCTCTCTTCCCTAAAATAACCTCCACATGCTCCTGCCAGGATTTGGGGACTTGCTCCTGGGACTGGTTTTTTTCCCCCCTTTTTCCAGGGAAGGGGTTTTAAATTTCCACAAGCCCCCTCCAATGTCTGGTTGCTCAGCAGTGAGATAATCAACCAAAATCCTGCCTGTAAGAGGACAGGGCAGGGCCTGATCCCTCTCCCTGGAAATGAGGGATATTTTGGTGGTGTTGCTTGCAGCTGAGTTCCTCTTGGGGTGGAAAGGGTGGATATGATGGACACGGGTTTGATGTGGCACCAAAGTACCCCCCCCACATCCCTTTACACCTTAAAGGAAGGGAATTGCACGAGGATCCTGGAAATGCTCTTCCCTTGGGAGCTTGGAGAGGGGTTTCCTGCTGGAAACAGCCCTGGGAGTGTGTCAGTCCTTCCTGTGCTTTCACTACCTGGATATTCCCTATTTTTGACGCTTTTCCTTGGTTTTTGTTCCCCCACGTAGGAGCCAGAACTCTTCTGCCCCCTTGGAAGCACAACTGGTAATGGGTAATGGTGTGAGAGAGGGTCCAGTGGAATTCCCAAAGGATGTGGAGCCAGTCACAGCAGCCCATCTCCCAGCAGAGGTGAGAGCACGAGGGCCTGGGGAGCCAAAAGCAATGTGGGAAGGAGGGGAAGGGGGGGATTCTGAGACCCCACCTGGAATCCTGCATCCAGCTCTGGGGTCTCCAGCACAGGGAGGACGTGGAAGCTGCTGGAGAAAACCCAGAGGAGGCACCAGGATGATCAGAGGGATGGAGCAGCTCTGCTGGGAGAGCTGGGATTGTTCAGCCTGGAGGAGAGAGGCTTTGGGGTGACCTGATTGTGGCCTTGCAGTGCCTGAAGGGGCTACAAGGAACATGGAGAGAGACTTTGGACAAGGGCCTGGAGTGACAGGACAAGGGGGAATGGCTTCAAACTGGCAGAGAGTAGGGTTGGAGGGGATATTGGGAAGGAATTCTTCCCTGGGAGGGTAGTGAGGGCTGAGGGACTGGGATGGATTTCCCAGAGCAGCTGTGGCTGCCCCATCCCTGGAAGTGTCCAAAGCCAGGATGGGACCTGGAACAACCTGGGCTAGTGGAAGGTGTCCCTGCCTGTGGCAGGGGGTGGCACTGGATGGGTTTTCCTGTCCTTCCAACCCCAGGCAGCCTGTGATTTGAGCTCTGGGGCGCTGGCAGAGCTGCAGGGTGTGTGCCAGCCCTGGAATGTGTAACTTGTGTTCCTCTGGGGAGAGCCAAGAGTTTCCATCCCCTTGGGAAGAGGCGTCGCTGGCACTGCCAGGCAGGGCTGGGTTCCCTTGTTGTGTCCTGCTGGCAGAGCTGGGACCAGGGCCACGAGCCTGGGTGTCCCTGCTCCTGCTGCTCCTGCTGCTGGATTCACTGGAAGCCCTGGAAGAGGAGGGGATGCTGAACCTTGGTCTGGTTTAGCCCCAGGCTCAGGCTGAAGTTCACCTTCACGTGGCTGCCCTTGCCTTCGGCCCCGGCCAGGCAGAGATGGGAGGGGAAATCCAGGGATTTGGGTAACAAACATTAACTTTTTTAGTTGTGAAACACTCTGAAAAAAAGGGAGATGTTAACTCCTCTTCTCCACAGCCACACAGAGCGTGTCAGAAGCTCACATTAAGCCTGGTCCCTCAGTCTGGAACCTCCACAGTGTTGGATTTCATTTGCTTGTTCCCTGTCTGTGTGTTGGGAGAAAAGAGCTGCTTTATAAACATGAGCTGGGGCAGGAATGCCAGTGACAAACCCACTGCCATCCCATTCAGCAGAGTAGGAAACCTGCCTGGTTTTATTCTTGGGAATAGGGCTTGGGTATTACTGGGAGGGCAGGGGAGAACCTTGGGGAGAAATCATGGGGAGGGAGTGGCTGAGCTTTGAGAAGGAGAAACAACAGAGAGAAGGTAGGAGGTGGCAGATCTTGGAATTTTGCTTCCTGATCTGCTCAGGAATTCACTGTGCTAGAAATTTAGTAAAACATTTTGACCCAAATCCTGGAGAAAGGGGGGGTAAATGCTGCAGCAGAGGTGAAGTGTTATTCCTTGTGCTTTGTTCCAGGATAATCAGGAGAAGAAGAAAGTGCTCAACTCCCTGATGTCTGGTGCATTGGCTGGTGCTGTTGCTAAAACTGCAGTGGCTCCCCTGGATAGGACAAAAATCATGTTCCAAGGTGAGTCCTGTGGGCTTTTCCAAAAATACTCTGAGTTATTGTTGGCAGGACCCAAACCAGCAACCCTGATCTGCTCAGCCAGCCTGTTCTCCAGTGCTCCAAGGGGAATGTGAGGAGCTGTGGAGGCACTGGAGGCAGGGAGTTGAGGGGCTGGAGTTTCCTGCCCAAGGTGAAGCTGAGTTGGTTTGAGGGGAGCTGAAGTTAGTGATGGAAATACTGCAAGAGGCACTGGAGCTGCATCCCTGGGTTTGTGTTGCAGAGCCCTCCTTGGAACCCCTGAACTGTGGAACAGAAAGTGAAATTCATCTGTTTGGAACAGAAAATTGTCAGGTGTTCAGCAGGATTTGGGATTCAGCCCCATCCTGGGCTCTGTTTGGTCCCTCTGTCCCACTGACAGCTCCATTAATTACCCCAGAGGGATAATTAACAGCACAGGCTGTTGATTGAGGAGACATTTGGTAAAGGCAGGAATTTTAAAGCTGGTTGACGTCCCAGATTAACGGAATTGGGCGGGTTTGATCTGATCCCTGGCTGACATTTAATTTGGGATTGGCTTTCATTTGAGGTGATTTTCCCTGTGGACACAGCGAGGGCTGAGGGATAGCAGGGATGTGGATCAGGGGGATTAAAGCCTGGGCTGGGATTGCCCCTGGGAGCAGATGCTGGTGCAGCAGGGAGGACATGCTCTGCTTCCCCACCACAACTCACCCTCTGGTTCATCTCAGATTGGAGATGTGGGATGGAACCACAGGACTGGGCTGGGTCAGCAGTTGACCCAAAATCCCTTGAATTCGGACAGACCACGTTTATAAAAATACCTGTTTGCTTTGGCCCATCCAACTCACTGCAAAAGATGTGATTCAAATGTTCCCATTTGAGCAATCTCTTAGTTCCTAATGGATATTTTAGCTTCTTGCTCTTCTCTGTCCGAGAAGGGGCAAAGCACCTTTGGGATATTACCTGGATATTTCCTATTTTTGACACTTTTGCTTTGGGTTATTGAGTGTAGGAAGGTTGTCCCTTAACTAGGGACTGAAAAATGGGGCTCTGAGCAACCTGGGCTGGTGGAAAGGGCTCGAAACTAGACCCTCTTTAAGGTCCCTTCCAACCCAAATCCTCCTGGGCTTCCACAATTCTCTGAATTTTCCTGTGGCAGAGGGAGAAGAGCTGCTTCTTTTCTATCACAATTGTGTTTATTTCTGAAAAAAAAACCCAAAAGTGATGAATGGCATAAAGGAGCAGGGTGGTGAAAATGCATTTGCATGTGATCCTTGGATGCACTCGAGAGGTTCCAAGTCTCAGATGAGTGAGGGAGAAGCTGCAGCAGCCGCTTAATTGGGCCCACGTTTGGTTTGGAGCCTGGGCATGGAAATGCTCTGCTGAAATATTGTTTTTTTGAATTAATTTTGTATTTATTCCTTTGTTTCAGTGGCGTGTGGCACGAACTGAACGTTTTCCCAACTTCTGTGCTGGTTACCAGTGTTAAGCCTTTATTATAAAACAATCCCTGCTTCCTCCTGCATTAATTCTTTTGCTTCTCTTTTTATCCCTGAGATAAAACACCTGTATGGTTTATTTATTTACCAAATGTTTATTTATATTTGATCCATCTAAATGTATTGCAAGACCTAATGTTCCTTTTTTTGTTGTTTTTTCCCCTCCTTTTAGTGTCTTCAAAAAGATTTTCTGCCAAGGTGAGGTGATGTGTCTTGTCTGCTGTTGCCCTGAAGTGTTTGATTAATGGCAGTAATAGCTCCAACTGCATCTTTTGTTTGCCTTTTTTTTTTTTTTAACTTTCTTGCTTGGGATTTATTAGGAGGACTCAGTGAAAAGCACAGAGGGAAAGCACTGGGAGTAGGCTTATTATGGGGCAGATTTTAATCAGATTGTTGATGGCACAGGGGGGCTCAGTCCTTGCTCATGCTCTGGGTTTTACCCAACATTAAGTGTGACATCACTCAGGGCTTGGTTTTGGCACCTTCTCTAGTGCAAACCATGAGGGAGCTGGGAGTTTGGATGGACAGGAAGCTGAACAGGAGCCAGAGTGTGCCCAGGTGGCCAAGAAGGCCAATGGATCCTGGCCTGGCTCAGGAATAGTGTGGCCAACAGGTCCAAGGAAGTGATTCTTGCCCTGGACTCAGCGCTGGTGAGGCCACCCCTGGAGTGCTGTGTCCAGTTCTGGGCCCTCAGCTCAGGAAGGATATTGAGGGGCTGGAGCAGGTCCAGAGGAGAGCAACGAGGCTGGGGAAGGGACTGGAGCACAAGTGCTGTGAGGAGAGGCTGAGGGAGCTGGGGCTGTTCAGCCTGGAGAAGAGGAGGCTCAGGGGAGACCTCCTCACTCTCTGCAACTCCCTGACAGGAGGGGGGAGCCAGGGGGGGGTTGGTCTCTTTTCCCAGGCAACCATCAGCAAGACAAGAGGGCTCGGGCTTCAGCTGTGCCAGGGGAGGTTTAGGTTGGATATTGGGAAGAATTTCTTTGCAGAGAGGGTGCTCAGCCATTGGAATGGGCTGCCCAGGGAAGGGGTGGATTCTCCATCCCTGGAGGTGTTTAAGAAGAGACTGGATGTGGCATCAGTGCCATGGGCTGGGAACCACAGCGGGGTTGGATCAAGGGTTGGACTTGATGATCTCGGAGGTCCCTTCCAACCCAGCTGATTCTCTGATTCTCTGATTCTATGACAATCACCTCTTCCCCCGGGATTTTTCGGGTAACCCCCCGCTCTCCCCGTGTCCTGCAGGAGGCTTACAGGCTCATCTACCGCACCTACCTCAACGAGGGCTTCTGGAGCCTCTGGAGAGGGAACTCGGCCACCATGGTCCGTGTGATCCCCTACGCCGCCATCCAGTTCTGCGCCCACGAGGAGTACAAGCAGCTCCTGGGGAGCTACTACGGCTTCCAGGGAAAGTAAGGATGAGGGAAGAGCGTGGAGCAACCTGGAGGGAGGGAGCTCTGGGCAGGGCTGCTGCCCCGGGGGGAGCTCTGTTGGCACAGGGCTGTGCCAGCCCCTCTCGGGGTGATGTGCTTAAAGAACAGTGTGTTGGGGGGGCAAGGGATGGATGGGGTCAGGAACAGGGTGTTTGGGGGCCTGAGGGAAGGATGGGGTCAGGAACAGGGTGTTTGGGGGCCTGAGGGAAGG